ATATCTATCATGATTTTTGTTAAACATGTTGTCTTATAAATACGTATATGTATATATTTGGAATTTGTAATTATAATTATTGAGACAAATAAATGTAAATTATATTATATATTAGAACATTAAAATTGGAAAAAATATTTAAATATTTGTAAGATTTGAATTTGGACTTTAGAATACCATATAATTTTTTATTATATAAAAATAATATATAGATAGTATATAATTTGACATAACTTAGTTAGATTTTTTTAAAAAGAATCATAATTTGTTAAAATATAAATTAAGAGCCAATTTTAGAAAATTACATATTAATTTAGTTAAAATTGACATTTACACAGATGTATAGTATGTCTTAATGAATATCCAATGATTAGCATATTGCATATGTCATATTCTGTTTTCTTATTATATATCACATCCATCAAATAAATTTTGAATTTATTAATTGAATTGGTGTTCATTGTGAAGTATAGAATATTGTAAAAACGATGCAAGTGTATTCAAACATTGTAAACAAGTGAAAGGGGCGGCTAACTTCTCCCTATGTGGTGAACCATGAATTCAATTGTTATTAAAAAAGATACATATGTTTAATATCTTACTGCACTTCGATTAAGATGGTTTGCTTTTGAAAGAGAAAAAAAAAGCAGACTCTCTAGACAGCAATGTTATGCAGTAAAGTTGAAAAAATAGGTTACATATGGAGATAAGAGATTGGTCGACATGCTCCTAATTTGATTTTCAATTAGAAACGTTTAATTGCTTCTTATAATTAATAAACAGACCACGTAGCCAAATGAAATTCATATAAACTGCTGATTATTGACCAAGTAAAAAGGTTCAGTTTCAACCAAAATCGCTGGCAGACAACCATTTGTTTTCTTTTGTTTTTGTTTTGTTTCGTGTTCACAAGACTAACAGAACAAGAATCATCATCACAGAAACAAATTCATGTGGTCCTCACCGCGAAGGACACGCCCGTTAACCAACGCAACTGTCAACTGCTTCTTCCAACGCAATTCTTCTGTAATTTCCAAAATACTGAAATTAAGTGATTTTCATTTCTTGGATGAAACTCTTTTCTGGTGGGAAGGTTAAAAGAAAAGGGCGTTGGATTAGGTTGAGTTTTCAACTAATGTTTAAGCGTTCAATTGAATGGAATAATTGATTCTGGGTGGACTAGGTCAACCAACTTGATGGTTTGTCTCGGTCACACAAGGGCTACTAGTACTACCACACCACCTACAACCTCACCTGCCATGTTAGCAAATGCATCAAAAACAAAGAAAAAGAACAGGTCCTACCTCACATGTCATTTGGTCCAACACTTGGAATGCACACCACGACTACTACAATTCCAATCAAAACACAGCTGCTGAGCACACTCACATGAGAAAACTACCATTATTCAATCGTATGACCAAATTGTTTGATTCTATACATTATGGTTACCGTGTTACACAGAAAAGAGAACAATTTAGTCTCACAGATTAAAGAATCCAAGCTACGAACTTGACAAATTGTTTTATTAGCTAAACATCTACGATAGAGGGGGTTTTGAATTGACAACACACTGAAAGCAATTCGTTCAATGGAGCCGGACTGAATCAATTTGATTCTGGGCTGGTGAGTTACAGAAAGAATTTACATTACATGGCAACAAGTTTCGCATAAAACCAGATACCAGATGAAAAGAAAAAACAAAAAACAAAAGAATCCCCAATTCACAACAGAACTGCTGAATCTACTTGAGGTCTATCTATCATGAAATTGGAATCTGTTGATAGATTCTGACGTGCTTATACATTCTAATTGGGCTTATTCAAGCTTTATGTGTGTATGTATTCCACAAAACAAATGGGTTAGTGGGGGAAATATCAAACATGAATGATGTAATCTGAATTCTAACGTGTTAGCAACAGAGAGCAGAAGAAAAGGCAATCCAAAATTCCAACAGTACCCATTTGAGTTCTTCAGCGTTTCCAAGCGTAAACGAGCAAAGAAAACCCGACGGGAACGACCAATTCATTCTCCTCCACACTGGACCATTCCAAAACAGAGGAGCTTCCGCCGAAGGACCCACCTGAAGAAGAAACCGAGGAAGAAGACCAAGTCTTGCCCCATTCACAAACCCCCAAATTCCACAACCCCGCCAAGTTCCTATCAGCCACCGCTTCCTCCTCCTCGTCCTCGAACTTGAACATGAAAATGGCGTGCGCGTCGGCGTTGTTCTTGTCGAAGAGCCAGTTGTAAAGATCCCACGAGATTTGCACGTGCACGCCGTCAACTACGACGCGCTCATTGCCGCGAAACTTCCACTTGAGGCGCTTAATCTGCAGCACCTTCTCGCCGTCCACGCTGAACGAGAGTTTGGAGTGGTCCCTGAAACCGCAATCGATCTGAATCTCACGCGCCCGGCCGCCGAACGTTGCGCGCGTGGAGTAGACGCGGTCGGCAAAGACGTGCTCTTTCTTGAGGAGAAGCAGTTGCGGGGTGGCCGGTTGGTGGGCCCGGGACTTCGAATACGCGTCTCTGGCGGCGTCGCCGAGGAGGAGGCTCATGTGGCTGTTAACCACAAGGGCAACGTAGAATCCCGAGACGGGTTCCGGGTGCGACCCGAATTTGGCCTTGGCAAGGTTCCAGAAGAGGAATGTGTCGGGGGCCAGCTTCTTCACGCCGTGCTTTTTCCAGAAGACGAAGGGTCGTATGTGGAGGTGGAAGGAGATGGAGTCGAAAGATTGGCGGTGGAGTTGAATGTGAAGGGAGCGACCCACTACGGAGCGTGACCACGTGAGGGACACGGGACCTGTGTCTGTGTGGTAGATTGTGAGGTTTGAGATTGTGGAGTGCGGCGGCGGTGGCGGCGGAGGAGGAACGTCGGTGGTGGGGGAGGGACGGAAGCAGGAAGGAAAAGGCGACGATGACATTGTTTGTTATTGGGATCTGTGATAGTTTTGTTGATTTTGGTTCTTTTGAGGTTTGGGCGATGGCAGAAGAGGAAAGAGGATGCTTTTATTTATGCATTGGTTTGGTTGCATCTACGTTGAAGACGGTGATGATGATGATGTAGTAATAGAATTAATAAAAGAGAGAGGTTTAACTTGACTCAACCCTACCAGCTTCTTCTTCCTCTTCTTCTCTATCGCCTTTGGAAATAGCAATTTGGATTGGACCAACAAAATTCTATTTCACACATTTTTCTCCAAACTAAAATACAAAACACAACTTCGTCTTGCATAACCCTCATATGGGAAATTCATGCTTATTTTTTAATCATAAAATTTAGAAAAGTAGCAGTACTCTTCCACCACATGACAAAATACGAGTATACCTAAACTTACGTACCCGTATGTATGCATGTATACTTACTCGTGTATATTTTCAATTACGACGCTGTGCTTCCAGATTTCAACCTTTCTTTGAAAACTTTCACTACAGTAATTCAAACTTTGGCTGAAAGTTACTATGCAAGTATTGAATTTAGAAGTAATAGAGTTCTTTTTTAATTTAAAAGCGATTTGCCTTTTGCTCCTTCGTTAAATATAAGTTTGTTAATGTTCTATTTTTTATCACTTACATCAATTGGAAGGAAGCTCTTTCAGTGCATTTAATGTAAAGTGTTTGCAAGGTCATGTTGAAGTTATTTTGGAACATGGAAGAATAATTCAGTTTGACTATTGAATGATTATCGACATTGCTACAGTATAAAACTTTGGCACTTTTGATAGTTTCAAATTTTCTGGATCTATCTATATATGTTTAGAGAAAAGAGAGGTAGGTCGAAATTGAGTCTTCCTTCTCTGTTCAATTCTTTTTTTTTGTCTTAGAAAAAAGAAGTACTATGAGTGTAAGGATGGATAGTTTAAAAGAAAATGTATTTAATTTGGAAGAGAGAAATTTGGAAGCATAAGGTGGTTCTCACGGGTTGGGTTGTCTGAACGTGAGTGTACAGGTAGATAGGAACAAGAAAGGCATCTTCTATATTAAATGTGACTCAGTTCCTCAATCAGTGCTGGAACAGACACAGGTGTACGTCAATGCTGCTACTTTCTATTTTCAAATCCGCGTCTCATAAATTTCTACATGCTTACCAAATCTTTTTTCTTCCTATATTTATTTCTTTCTCAGTAAAATCATGTTAAAATATTATTATCAATTTTAGCATTTCAGTTATGTTACCTCAAAACTCGTAAATATTTGGTTGTTATCTATTTCTTTCCAACCAACAAGGTAACTTCCAAAAACTCCACCATATTTCAGGCTCCTCTCAAACTTACATGGCTAACAAGAATGTGATTTTTTACACTTAAAA